CCTCCTCCTCCTCCTTGCTGCTTAGGGAGGAAGCACCAAAGTCTCGGCTGGGAGAAGGCTCTGAGGCGGGTGGCTCGGGGGTCTCACTAAAAGCTACCGACTGCTTTGAGCCCTCCCGCGCCAAGCCCGTGTTAACACTGCTCCTCTCTGGCACGGCAGCCACATCCTCTCTGGAGAGAAAGTCACGCATTTTCTAAAAAGAAACAGATACACAAAAAAGGCCAAAGAGAGAGAAAGAGAGAAAGAGAGCATTAGAGAGAACAGGAGGTCATGAAGCATAACGGCAAAACATTGGTTTCTTGTAAGACATCACATCTCCAGCAAGGCATGCAACAGCAGTGGGTTCGAAAGACACTTGAGAACCTCTGTGCTATGCAAGGTATCCAGCGCGTTTACTGACACAGCCTTCCTGGCACAGTAACATCCACTTTCCTGAAGTTTAAGGAATTAATATTAAAACAACTCTCTGCAACTAAAGGAAGAGCCACCACTAAGGACTTTTTGGCCAGTTTGGAAACAGGAGTGATTCCAGTGTAGCAAGTGGGGACTTGTGCACATTCAGAACTCTCACGTGCAACAAAACCCACCAACTACACCCAAACCACACCCCGGTTCTGCTTTTAACTCCTTGGAATATTACACGCTGTGTTTTAATTTGCACCTGGTGGTTAAAAGAATAAACCCCGAATTAGCGTGTACGATAATCCGCAGAGCCTGAGCCTTGCTCCCTCCCTCGCCCCTGGGAATCCTCACCCCTCCAAGCACCCTGTTTGCTGCTGCAGTCTCCGGGATAACGAACACAGACTTGGCACTGGTAAAATTATAGTAAGGATATCTACAAGTTAGTACTGAAATCAGCTGCTTCAGCTACCAAGAGGCTCCTGAACTGACGATGCAGTCTGGTCATCTGAATGAATTCGTACGATTTCTTCGAGACAAACCGGTTCAATTAACTTAGCACAAAACTCTCCAGCTGCGGAATAAAGAAATGTGGCTTTAAACTGGAAAGCCAGATGCTGCCGCTGACGCGCGCTGACCCCATCACCACCGAGCATGCGGTGCAGCTCACTGCTCTCAACAAGCTGCGTTTGACCATTTATTCCTGAGTACCGAAACATTCGTAAGGTACTTTATCCCAAAAGCAGCCGGCGCACGGACACCTCTGCGGTAGCTAAACCTCCTGAAGGCACACCGTAATCGGCATCGTGGCGGTGCACGGGAGAGAGGACACGTAATGAAGCAACGCAGCCCTCCGAGAAGCCCGCGAGCGTGTCTAGGGCAGCTGAGGTATCTGGGAAGGGTGCGCCGAGCCAGAGGGTTTAACTAAGGCTGGTGCTAATCCGCTCTCCGCTCAGCTCATTCGCAAGGTCTCAGCTAGGTCTTCTCGCAGCTCTGGGAGCCCTCTAGCCAGGAGGGAAGCAGCAGCGACAGAAGAGCAGAGTTAAAACATGAATGAGACAGGTCAGCTGCTTGCCCAGAGGCCCGAGTGATGATCTCTGATGCGCACAGCGAAGCGGCGTTGCCGTCACCAGCGGTGAATCTGATGGCTGCCGTCCTGCCCTCTCTGCTACACATTGTGCTTCTCACTATTGACACGGAAAGTTGCCTTCAAGGAAGGGCAGAAGCAGCATGGACACCTACGATTTTACCCATATCGAAGTTGTCACATCACACAACATCAGGGAGCAAGGAGGGGAAAATCCCAGAGGGGTGCTGCTTAATCAACGCCGTTACTATTTCTTCTCAATAATTCACCTCACGGTTGATTTCTGGTAACTGTATAAAAATAGCCACATCTGTTCTTCCAAAAACAGGGATTAAACTTTCATAGAAGCACGGCAAGTCCACTTTGTCAACTGTTCTTCTGATTTTGGTGGTGGTATTAAGATGAATAGAAACTGTTGCCTCACTTTCTATTAAGAGGATTCTCTGGGCAACCAAAAAAAAGAGACCCAGTAATTTGTGCTTAAAACGTGAGATCTGAAGCCTGTGGGTTAGCTGGTACAATGCATTTTCCACACACCAGAGGCTTTCACCCTGATCGACCTCATCTAACGGCACGGTTCAGTAGTATGTTAAGAATAAGAGCTGCTTTATGTAGCAACAAATCGGTGCTGATTTTAGTGTCATTTCAAGAAGTGGCTCTTCTACCATTCGTCCCAGGTATTTTTCAGTTCCCAGCTTCTTTATGTTGCAGACAGGTTACCGGTAAGATTTCTGTCCATTCGAATTTCCAGCCTCTGGGGCATCTTTTAGGTTCTCGGGACACTGCTTAGGCAAGTGCATTGAAGGGGCAGTGATCAGCACCGTGCGGATCACGTCTGACCGCACACACAGGGAAGTGTTGTTTCCGATCTAAACCCACTTCCATACGTGCTCCTCCGCAGGTATATCCAGTTTTGCCTAACGCAAGATACTCTACCGCAATATTTCACAACACAGAATAGGAACGGAGGTCATCAGCTTTGAATGCCCATGTCTTCATCTTCCTTTAAAACCTGGATTTATATACTCCCAATGTATCAATCTCTCCTTAATTACAGAAGCTAAATCTTGCAAATTAATCATGGGATCTTGAGAAGACAGTGTACATCATCTGGAGGTAAACGGAAAATGCCTTAGGAGCCAGATTTCCTTACGTAGCAGGAGTGGCACAACTGTGACCAAGAGGAAGACTCACAGATAAACCACAGCAGATCAAGCAGCCACACAAATGCAGATCTGTTTAAGAGACAAACATTTGTATCCGGACAAAACAACTTCCCAGCTCCCTATCACACACAGAAAAATAATTTGCATTGTGGAATTATCTTACGGCAAAAGCACAAAGAAAGGGAAAAGCTTAGCTGAAGCCTATGGTGTCCACATATTGCCTGCCAGCAGAGCCAAGGGCACCAATAAACATGCAAGCTCTAAAGGCAGAATGAAATCCTGATAAGATCAACCAACCAGAAGCACATTTTCCTTGCCTTCCTATTCTACCAGTAAGCAGACAGACCAATTGAAAGGTCTTTGTTTCTATATAAAATTATCTTTACATTTATGCCTATATTTAAATACACAGTTTGCACATAGGCTAGAAAAGATTATCTTTTTATGAAAAAAAACCAAAAAGCCCCTAGGAATTTGAACATCTGTTCTAAATTCTGACCTTATCAAGATTTATTTTAATTTGTAAATGCACAATAATTCCTATTTTTAGGGCTCAGATTTGCAGAGTTCCCAGCTCTCCCCCAGACCCATGAAACCGGAGAGCGCCTGGGCTGCAAACTGCTCACTTCCAGAGACACAGAACCAAAGCAGGGACGCCTAAAAGCCAAGCACGAAGCAGAGTCTTTGCCGAAGCCACACACAGCGCACAGAAAACGCAGGACAGGCTGCCGTGCCCCCGCAGAAACAAACTGCACCAGACACGAATGTGACGACACCACCACCCTCCCGCACGCAAACCTTTATGCGCCCGAGGCTGGCTGGCAGAGGATACAGCTTCATGTAAGCGCCGCAGTGTAAAAAGTGACACACGGTCATTCAGACTGGGG